AAGGGGGCTTCAAAAAGTTCAGGAAAAAAATCCATTATCTTTCAATTCCATTTTTTACATGAACTTTTTAAATCTCCCTGGTATATAGGGGCACTGGGCCCAAAGCTAACAATATATAGATACTTACTCTCATACGATTAAGGGATTCACCTGTAGCTCCTTTCCCTTCTGCCACCAATGCTAAGTGCCAATCTCTATGTTGTTGTTGTTGTCATTGTCAAGTGCGTCGGTTTCAACTTATTCAAGTCCTTGTATAGGACTTCCAAGCAGTGGATGGTGGTTTGATGCCAGTGCCTATACTATCACACCATACCAGAAGTACCTAAGAACACCTAAAGCTTATTGGGGGAGTACTGGTGTGGCATCGTGGGTTAGTGTACTGGACTACAAAGTTGGTTTGAACCACAAAATTGGCAGTTCAAAATCACCAGATGCTCCTTGAGTCGTTACAGGTCGGAACAGAATCAATGGTAATTAACAGCAACAACAAGGCTTATTGGGAGTCCTGGTATGGCACTGTGGGTTAATGCAATGGACAGCAAGGTTGGTTTGAACCTCAAGGTCGGCGGTTCAAGTTCACTGGACACCCTATACAGGGTTGCTATGGGACAGAACTGATTTGACAGCACTTAACAACAAGGCTTATTGTTGCAGGAGAAAGATGAGGCTTTCTGCTCCCGTAAAATTTTATAGTTCAGAAACCCTATACAGGGTTGCTGGTAGTTGGAACCGACCCCATGGCACACAACCACCATTACTATCAGGAAGGTTTATTGTTAGCTGCCATCAAAGTCAGTCCCCAACTACCGGCAACCCCAAACACAATAGAACAAAACACTGCCCAGTTCTGTGCCACTCCCATAGTTAATTGTGGTCCATAGGGACCATTGTAATCCATAGGGTTTTCATTGGCTGATTTTCAGAAATCTATCACTAGAACTTCCTTCTTTGTCTGTCTTCATCTGGAAAACTCCATAAAAATCTGTTTAACATCACAGCAACATACAAGGCCCTACTGCTAAAGCGGAGGCTAAACAGGAAGTTGGAAATAGAAGCTGGGTCTCCCCCATGGAAGGCAAGAATTCTACCCATACACTATCACTTTCCAACTAAATTCTTCACACACATTTAATCTTCACAGTACCCCTATGAGATGGGTACTAGTATCATCCCCCATTTCACAGAGAGGAGTCTGGGTTGGCGCTGTGGGATATAATGGTCAGTTTGAATGGCAAGGTCAGTGGTTCAAACCCACCAGTTACTCCTCGGAAACCCTATACAGGGTCACTGTGCATAGGAACCGACTCAACGACACTTAACGACAACAACATTTTACAGATACGAAAGCTGAGGTTTCCAGTGATTAAGAAAAAATGTCTAGGATTTTTAGAATTTGCAGAATTTGGATATGTACCTAGGAAGCTTGATCCTATGCTATTAAGCATTAAATTTAAAAACACAAAGTTAGAAGTCACAGTGAGTATTGCATAAACAGGCCTCTCATTTCCATTTACTTCAGGAGCAAGAAGCAACTTGGCAAAGAAACAATGAGGCAAGAGCAAACTCAACCGACTAAATGTAGCTCTGCCGATTGCTCAGATAAAGAAGCAATCATCCCCTTTGGCTTCTTGCCAGCATTTCACTTTTCCATATGTGTTTGTTAAAACCCAAGGTGCAATGGCACTATGAGGAAATGGACCAGAAATGCCTTCAAATGATCCACTAGCCCTGAGTACAATTTCTACACAGCAAAAAACAGTTAAATCAAAATACACTTCCACTGCAAAGGCAGCAATCCATTCCAGAAGACACATCTTTTTTCTTCTTCTTAGAAAATAAAGCTGATTTTTAAAAGGATTCTGCTCCAGATTTGAAGGGCTGCTTTGGAAAAGTGTTGAATACTTGCTTCTCAGGTTCCTGGTTACAGAGCAGGTCTTCCCCGCCCTCTGTCTGCCTGGACCCCTTGTCTGGGTGCAGGGGCCTCTGGGTTAAGAAAAATGTGTGAGATTTATTCAGTCATGACCTACATTCACAGAGCCTGCAGCAAAGCTGGTTCGGAACCAGATTTTCCCACAAGTATAAAGCGGCTCACAAGCTAGAAACCTTGATTTTTAATTTATGGAGAAAGGCAGTCAACCAATCAAGTCAGTATCACATGACCACCTATAAAAACAGGCCAAGAAGCCATAAGCAGAGTTTGGTTCTTTTCAAATGCCCTCCATCCGCCCATCATGCTTATCTCAAAACAATCCCTTCAAATCAGCCACCAAACAGGTATCTAAATAAACACCAGGTCCTTTTATCCTAACCCAAAAATGAAAAATAAACCCCTTGATGTCCAGATGATTCCAACTCACAGCAACCCTATAGGACAAAACAGAAATTCTCTATAGGATTTCCTTGGCTGGAGTCCTAGTGTAGGTAAGGTTAAGACAAGTGGTTCAAACACACCAAGCCACTCCTTGGAAACCTGACACAGGGTTGCTATGAGTTGGCACTTAACTAGAGGGCGCTTAACAGCAATAACCAATCTTCCCAAGACTGCCTCATCTTTGTCCCAGAGAGATTGGTGAGTTCAAACCGCTGTCCTTTCAGTTACCAGCTGAGCATCTATCTAACCACTACAACACCAGAGCTCCTCATTCTATCCTGTTGTTGTTGTTGTTATGTGCCGTGGAGTAGGTTCCAACTCATAGCGACCCTGTACAGGGTTTCCAAGGCTGTAAATCTTTACGGGAGCAGAAAGCCTCATCTTTCTCCTGCAGAACAGCTGGTAGTTTCGAACTGCTGACTGTGAGATTAGCAGCCCGATTCTTAATCACTATGCTCCCAGAGCTCCTAGTGCCGGGAAAACATACGCCTTCTGACTTCTCCTAGGAGATCTTATTTATTTTAACATTCTCATAACGTATTCAGGTAACGGTGCTGCTGGCTAACTTTACCCAACTTTGTGCAGTGTGTTAAAATCTTCCCCAGGTTCACTTCTCAACCCTGACGACCTGTGTGTAGATGAACGTTCACACTAGACTCAAGCAAGGCGCTCCTTTACTCATATCCCTCCACTGGGTTCCCAGATGGACCAGCTCATCCCTGAGTAATAACGACTTTGATTTAGGGCCCAGGTAGGGGGCACTGGTAGTTTAGAGGTAGAACTCTCACTTTCCAGGCAGAAGACCTGAGTTCAATTCACAGCCATTTCATCTCATGCGCAGCCAACACCTGACCCTCAAGGGAGACTTGTGTTTTGTTATGATGCTCAATAGGCTTTAGTGGAGCTTCCAAACTAAAACAGAGTAGGAGGAAAGGTCTGGAAATCTACTTCAGAAAAGGAGTCTATGACAAGCTTTTGGATCACAATGGTCCAATCTACAACTGACCATGGGGATGGGGCAGTAGTGGCAAATACTTCAGTCTGCTCAACATAGGAGGTTGTCCTGTGACAGGCCAACTCTAATGGTGGCTAACAATAACATGATAGCCCCAGTTCCATTAGTAATGGTTCTAAACCCGGAGAACTTTTGTAAATCCCAATGCCAGTTAAATCTAAATTCCTGGAAGTGGAACTCAGACACCAGTGTTTTTTGAAAGCTGCTTACCAGCTGATTTCTCTCTGTAAGCAAAATTGTGACCCATAAAACTCACTCCATCCAGTGGTGAGATCCCAGATGGGCCACTTAACTACTAATTCCGCCTTCACTTCACAGGATGGATGAATGGATGGTCCCATGAACTTAGCACAGAATCTAGCAACAAGTTAAAAGGTCCTGCTCCCTTTATGACTCAGAGCAAGGAATTAATTCTAAGAGCTAGTGGATCATAACCATTTGATTAAACCTTCTATTTCTACTGCATTCAGGATTTTGTTTTAAAGGAAAACATGGAGGACGGATCGAAATGGAAAAGGCGAGAGAAGCAACGACAACCTCTAGTTCCGTCACTTGGGTCCTATGTCAACAGCTTTTCTTTTTTTTAAAGTTTCCCCACTCGATCCTCAGATGAAAACACACTCCTGAAAATTCCATGCAAACTGGATGCAGCTCAAATGCCAAATGGCTTCTCTCCATCTGAACCTCTGCCTTCTATTTTGCCCTAATTTCCTCAGCTTTTATGCATAACAAGCAGTTTGTATATCGCTAACCAGTAAGAATTTGTAACTCAAATGATATAACCATGCAAATGGCAATATTTGGATCCTTTGGGACTGAAGCCGTTAGTCAAATACTTAACTCACCTTACCTTACCTTAACTGTACATAGGAACCATTTAGGAAGTCTTAAAAGATATCAGTGCCCAGGTTCCAAGACTCTAGAGACTAATTTATTAATTCATCTGGAATGGGGCTCTGAGTATCTATTTACTTAAAAATCTCCCCCAGACAATTCTAATATACAGCTACAACTGAAAACAACAAGCAAAAACAAAATCCTCATCATCTATGGTATCAACTATATTTTAAATACCACCTGGAAAAAAAACTACATTCCAGAGAAAGCATAAAACGCAGGAGGCCTAAAAAGAAAGCCAATACTGCTATGAAAACTGTCCTGCCTATGTGCTTTAATTCAAAAAGCAAGTGAAATAACCAAAACTGCTCATTCCAGGTTAAAACAACTAACAATATCAAAAGCTCCCCAAAAAAGAATGAGATATGATGAAATAACAAATGTTCTTGGTGACCCGATCTTATTTATGTGCATACACAAACAACTCTGATTTATTTGGAGATATGTCTGCACAAATGGAAGACTTTAAACAGAATAAGCATTTAACCAAAATTTACTCAGCAGACAAATTAAGGCACTACTAAAGCCATCCCAATCTTGACTCTGAATTAATCTTATGCATTTTCAAGACTTGGGATTGAAATCATTTTTTAAAAATATGTTTAAGTATATAAACTTATCATCACATTAAAGAAGACAGAAGACATACACATGACAGTACATCTCATGGGTTCTCAAGTGAGTCAGGTGTCCACCCCAGGAGGGCCACCACCTTACCTCTGAATTTCTTAGGTGGATTGTTAAGATCCCCGGCTTCTGGCTGTACAACACAGCGATCATCTACCAGGCTGTGGGTAAGACAAAGACAAATGCTATAACAAGTCAAGCCTAAGAAAATAAATCCCAAAGTATCAGGTAAAAACCAAACAAACATCGCAGGGCTTTTCCTGCACAAAACTTAGCCTGACACCTGTTCTCCTGCCAAGGAGCTGTTGATACTAGAGGTATATCACAAGGTCCTGCTGCTATCGTGGGCACATTAATCTACTGCTTTCGGCGGCTTCTTTTGCTTCACCACACCCACGATGGATTTGTGCACAGTGTGCAATACCAGTGAAGTCAAGAGGCAGGCTGGGGTCTGGTCATAGACCCCACTAGCAGTAGCTGAGTGGTGCCAGACAATGTTTTGTGGTCCTGGGATATGAGAATGAATATGAGATGGGGTCCTGCTCTTAGCCGCTCCAGAGTCAAAAGGACAAACCAGAAGGAGAATTATATTTCAATGACTGTAAGGAGTCCTGGTATGGTGCTGTAGGATTAATCATTGGACTACTAATCCCAAGGATGGGGGTCCAAACCCACCAACTGCTCCTCAGAAACCCTAACTGACTTGACAGCACATAACAACCAAGAAAATAAAGGAAAATGTGCAGCCAGAAATGAATTGTGCCCAAAGGCCACCTGAGCACCTGCTGGCAGAGGTGGTCCTATTGAAAGCGTTGAAAAAGAGATGGGGGTTGAAGGTGAGGGAAACATTTTCAGATGGGAGCATGTGAAAGAATTTTGTGCTTCAAATGCTACTAGTGTGGAAAAGCAAAAAATTACAAATAAATTACAGTTGTTAAATGCCAAGTCACTTCCAAATAATACTGACCATATATATAGGGTTTCCAAGGCTTTTAAATCTGAGGGAAAAGAAAATCACATCTTTTCCCCAAATAGCCACTACTGGGCTAGAACGGTAACCTTGTGGTTTGCAATCCAGTGCTTGTCATATGGACCCACGGTGCCAAATTTACATGAATATCCCGTATTTAAAGTCCTGTCAAGCCAAACTAATTTGCACACTTCTTCTAGAAGAACCGTTATAAAATATAAGAAAAAGTTGAACAGATGAGGAAAGTGAGGCTCTGAGAAGTTAAATGGCTTGTCCAAGATCCTAAAACTGGCATTGTTAACCAAACACCAGCTGCCACGAGTCAATGCCTATTCATGCCTATTCTGCCGTAGTCAAAGTACAGCTATGCTCCACAGGATTTTCAAATGTCTGATTTTTTTAAAAAAGTAGATCACCAGGTCTTTCTTCTGAGGTGCCTCTGGGGGAACCGTAACCTCCAACCTTTTAGTTAGCAGCCAAGTGCATTAACCACTTGGACCACTCAGGCACTGCTGATATAAGGTAGGGCTGCTTCATTTTCCAAGGATTTCTTCCATAAATCGACTGCTGCCTCTTATCCCAAAAGCAAGATCCCAGTAAATACCCTGCCTTTACTCTTGCTGCTCCTTCTTCCAAAATTCCCCTGCACCTCTTAAACCCCTGCCTATCTTTGAAGGCATAGAGTCAGAGTCGCCACCTCTCCCATGAAGCCCCTCCATCAGGTATTTCCTGCTCACTCTACCTTTTCTCTGGTGTCCTCTGTTCCTTGCGGGGCTGAAAGATACAAATGGTGCACTAGACTAGAAGTGCCACAAAGGCAAGAAACTGCTTTCTGGACCAAAAGATTCCCAAAGCCAGCACATATGCCCACCTGGGTGAGATGCTCTGTATCTATTTAGTGGGTGAATCCAAGTTACCAGAGTAGCCCACAAACTGTTGCTTCCTTCTGCTCCAAGACAGAAGGCCTTACTACATCAATAAGATGGTGCAAAAAGCACAAAAGAGCACAGCCTTGATCAGTGTACATTCCATTTTACTTCTATGGCCTGAGCTGCTAAGCAAAACATCAAAAGCAGAATGTGCACATATAAAATCCCCTGCAAGAATGATTTTATACTTGGGTTTTGCATTGATACGATGAGCCCTTGAGAGTACAGATACAATAATGCTACCCCCAGATCTAATATAATACTTGGGGAAGGGGGTCTTAGAATCTCCCCTAGGCCTGATGATCTACTTCTGAAAAATATGCCATTGAAAACCCTATGGAACATAGTTCTACTCGGACACACAAGGAGGCATCATTAGTCGGAACTGATTCAACAGCAACTGGTCCTGGTAATATTTGAGGGAAACACTTGCAAAGCAAATAGTTCGTACCTCATGCGAATTTTAAGAAGAGATGCCCTGGAAGGAAGGGAAGAAGGTAAAAGTAGATACTAAAATTTCAGGGGTTGGTTTGGCAACTACCTGGAGGCAAGCTTGGTGTCTGGGAGGGCAACAATGATGGTAAGAGAAATCAGAAACACAGAGGAAGAGTGGTGAGAAGGAAAGACAGGCAATATGGTGAGGCTAAGGTTTAACAAGCATGCAGATAAAAGCTATGAGCCGTCACTGAGGAGTGTGGCAGTCAGATTCAATCAGAGAGGGAGGTGGTCGGGAAACAAAGGCAGGACAGCTAGTTCTACAGGGGCACCAGAGTCCCCAGTCTTCTAGACAAATGATGGTCCCTGTCCAATACAATTTCATCTCCATCAAAATGGCAATAATACTAGTGATGGTGGTAGTGGGGTGCTGTTGAGCTGGTTCTGACTCAACGCAACCGTGTACAGGGTTTCTGAGGCTGTAAATCTTTATGGGAGCAGAAAACTTCATATTTTCCCATGAAGCAGCTAGTGGATTTGAACTGCTGATCTTGTGGTTAGCAGCCTAATGTATAACCCACTATGCCACCAGAACTCCTTGCTAACACAAGTACTCACTTTAAAATATTGTTTGGCCATTAAAAGGGTGATGTTTGTGCAGTACCTAACACAGCGCCTGGCACATAGTAAACACTTACACTTTTTGGTTGTTGCCGAAGAATAGAAAGAGGATGAAAGACTAAAATATGGGAACAGAAAGAAGAAAGGAGAAGCACAAGCAGCAGAAGGCCTCTTTGCCAAAAGCTACAGAAAAGAAAGTGCGAAGGGGTGGTCTACAGTGTCAAGAAGTCCGAAAAGATAAGGGCTCAGACAGTCACTGGATTTGGTGACCCAGCAGGCATGCATGGCTTCTTTGTATCTATGACTTTTGAAACCGCAATTTTTATACAGTGAAAGCACTGGGCCCTTTGAGCTACAAATTTCTATCTTGAATAACTTGGTCCCAGAGCCTGTATTAAGGAACTCTGGTAGCGTAGTGGTTACGAATCAGGCTGCTAATCTCAAGGTCAGCAGTTTGAAACTACCAGCTGTTCCGCGAGAGAAAGATGAGGCTTTCTGCTCCTATAAAGAATTTACAGCCTTAGAAACCTTGTACAGGGTCACTATGAGTCGGAACCGACTCCATAGCACATTACAACAACAACAACAAGAGCATGTGTTATGCCCAGAGCTTGGATCATAGAGTCCTGGTGTGGTGATGTGGATTACTGCGCTGAATTGCAAGGTTGGTTTGAACCGTAAGGTCAGCGGCTGAAGCTCATAAGCTGGTCCTCAGACACACTATATAGAGTGGCTATGGGTCAGAACCGACTCAACGACACTTAACAACAACAACAGAACATGCATTAACCTGAATGAGGGCCTGGGAATACGCACTCTGCACAAAAAGCAGAAAACAAGTATACTTAAATGATGGCCTGGCACTTTATGATTAGCACTGGACCACAAACTGCAAGGTTGGTGATTCAAGGTCACCAGCTGCTCCTCGAAACCCTATAAAGCGTTGCAGTCAGTCGAAACTGACTCGACAGCACTTAACAACAACATGATTACAAAGAAGTTGCTCACTGCTGTGAAAATGAAGTTCTTGGAGAAGCTGTTGGCCTTTTATGCGACAGACTCGTGCCAAATTCACCAGTGCCACCCCAAACCTAACGACTCTTTGCTACACAAAGTCAATATAATATACTTCTTTTGTGACTCTTCTGGAGTTAACCATCTTGATTCTCAAATTATAGCATATTATGGGTTATATGAAGAGGCTTCAAAAGTTTGTGGATAAACTATCTTTCCATTCCAGTTGTCCATGATCTTTGGAAGCCCCTCAATTTCATACCCTTATAACAGTGGGTAAAGATACTTAAAAGATCAAAATTCTGAATTAGAGAGCTTTGTGCAATTTATAATTTCAGAATACATACAGTAATTTAAACTAGGAAAAGTTCTGGTTCAAAGAAAACATATATCGAGCAAAGAAGTTCTGGTCTTTACTTATAATATCAGTAAGTCATTATTTTAAACAAGAGGTTCCTCAAAGCTAAAAAGCATTCTTTTTGGGGTGTGTAAATGTTCACCTCAAAATTTTATTCCATACATTTAGCACTTTTCCTTATATATGAAAGAAAGGGAAATTATGTAACAAATTCGGCATTAATGAGTTCTAATGAATGAGGCTTCACTTTTCAGAACTGTCAGAAAATGATGCTTTATATGAAAAGTTAAACTTAGCATGAGCATTGGTATTCAGGGCTTTAACCTGTTCCTGTAAAAGTTAAGTAAAATGGTAATATTCATATCTTAGAAAAATCAGAGTTTTAAGCTGATGTCATGATGTCTTAACAAATCCTGCTACAGAGAAATCTTAGGCTCTTACCCCAAGGTGCTAATAAATCCATTTGTCGATCCCTCCGCATACAGAGAACAAATGTCTCCAATATGTAGGAAACTAGACATCTTGTCAGACATGTCTTTCTCGAGAATCCTAGACAAAGTAAAATATGCAACGTTGTTAAAAAAAATGAAATGCTCTGAGGCGAAGGAAAAAAAAAAAAAAATCACCAGAGTTGGCTTAGCTTAATTTTCCAAAGGGCTCTACTTAAAAGTCACATTTAAATATGAGTTTGACAGGCAGGCACTTTAAATGAGCCAAGTAAGGGCATATACAACATTTCCCCATCCTACTGCCACTACCCCACCATCCGCCATCCGCCCTTCACTTTAGGATATTCCAAATACAATAATGTTTGTTTCAAACAAACCCACACCTAAATCATATTCTACAAGTTGAGGACCCTCGGTAATAAAAACAGCAGGAGCTCAACCAAGAACTTTGCAGTAATTAAGGAACTGGAAAGTCTGATTTATGAAACATTAACATATTCAATTATCCTCCGGGAACATTAAGTCAGAAGGAAACACCTGGTATGAAACTTGAGTCAAGCAAGCCCATGGTGCCTAAGCCAAAGTATCAAAGCAAAAAATTAAAATTAATAAGAGGAAACCTGACAACAAATACCACACAATTTAACAGTCTTTTAATACTTCATGAAAATTCTCTTTCAGTGTCTTTCCTTTTCATCCTCTTAACAGAAAACAAAACAAAAAACACTTCTAAACAGAGAAAAGAACTTAGGCAGCACCTGATCTAAACCATTCACCAAGCAGGTAAATATGATAATAAGGGATGAGTGGGTAAGAACCCTGCCAGGAGTAAATAGCTAGTTAGTGGTAGTCCTAGAAAATGCTCGTAAGTTCTAGAAAATCTCAACACAGCCCAGAAATCACTGAACAGACACACAAAAAAACTATCAACAAAAATATTGACATGATTCACAAAAACAGCTTTCCTTGGGGCCATAAATATTGAGGAGTGGGACCCATATTAGAAAAGCTATCCTGACGTTTATACAACAAACTCAGTTATGTGGGAAGACAGTATGCTGGGGCGGAGTGCAGCTAATTTTCCTGTTTTCCTCAGGCTCCTTTTCTAGATGCATAAATAACCAAGGTCTTCCCCCCCAGAACCTCTTCTCCAGACCCCACCAGTTACCAAAAAGTCATCTCTGACTCATGGCAACCCCGTATGTGTCAGAGTCAAAAAGTGCCCCATAGGGTTTTCAATGACTGATTTTTTTGGCAGTGGATCACTAGGCTGTTCTTCCAAGGCACCTCTTGGTGGACTTAAATTTCTCAGTAAGCAACCGAGCCCATAAATTGTTTACACCACCCAGGGACACCCATCCAAAGGCAGGCTTCTTTACACATTTTTTCTCATCTATTTAGGTATTTGTTCCTCTACCAGAATCCATTTACCCCATTCAGACACAAAAGCTGTAATGCCCCGGAAAAGTATTTTCTCCTCAAATTACTTTCTGGGTTTTCTTTTAGGAAGACTTATGCAGCAAGGATTGGCAAGGAACCTCAGAAAGCATTCTCCTACCTTAGCAGGAGAGTCAGGTGCTGAAAGCAAACCATTAAAGTACCTCAGCTCACTGCTTTTAAGAAGCTGTACAGTTCATTTATGCCCCCAAATAACCCAGATGTAACAAGACAGATAAAGAGCATTTCATTAAACATGAACTTTTTTAGACAGAGACAGGAACTGAGTACACAGAATAAAATATGAAACAAAAGAGCCAGCATCACTAGACCTTGGGGAAACGTACACAAATAAAGCACAAGAGATGGACTTTGCTAACTTTTGCTCTCTGGAATATTGTCCTTCATTATCTACAGGCACACCAATGCTTTAAAACCCATCCAAAAAAGCTGTTCAAGAGAAAACCATTTAAGACTCATTAATATATCCCTTATGTGCTTATATGGAAAAGTTTTATCTTAAAGGGTCAGGAAGTCAGTGTACACTTCTGGGACTATTTATTGGAGACTAATTTGCTCAGATTTTGAGTCCGATGAAATTTGTATGTGAACACTCTGGCCTCCTAGGAGACTGATGAGTTGTCCAGTGCAGGAGAGCAGCAGGTAGGTGCACCTGCAAGAGACCAGGGCCTTGTCCAATGTGACAAAGCTTGGGACTTGTCCTTAGAAGGGTCTTTGGAACCCTAAGGAGGCCAGACCAGAAATATCCGCACGACATGACTGCTGAGTTCTAGAGACACCACCTGGTGACCTTTCTGTAAGGCTGTAGGCTCTTAATGGGAAAAGCAGGCACTATTCAGTGTTCCAGAATGCAGTGCGCTGTGCTGCCTACCACTCAGGTACTGGTAGAGATGTTCAGCCACCACAGTTGGGCGTTATTGCTCATTTTAATGATAATGCAGCTGCTGCTGTGGTTACTTGCCATCGAGTCAATTGTGATTCACATGGCGATCCTGTGTATACAGAGAACTGCTCCTTAGAGTTTTCAAGAGGCAGACTGCTAAATTTTTCTTCCAAGGCGACCCTGGTTGGGTTTGAACCGGTAACTTTCAGCTATTCATTAAATGTTTTAACAGTCTGGACCACCCCAAACGAAACCATTGTCATCAGTGAATTTCAACTCATCATGACCTGTAGGGGCAAAACAGAATTGCCACATAGGGTTCCAGGGGTGCGGTCTTTATGAAAGCAGACTGCCACATCTTTACTGGGTTCTAACTACCAACCTTTCAGTGAACAGCCAAGTGCTTAACCACTGTGCCACCAGGGCTCCTTCCCACATCACCCAGGAACCTTTAATAATAATAGCTTGCATTTATTGACTCTTACTATACATACTAGAGTCCTGGAGTGGTGCTGTACAGTAAGCACTAGACCGCAAGGTTGGCAGTTCAAACCCCAGCCACTCCTTGGAAACCCTACACAGGGTCACTGTATGAGTCAGAACTGACTCGACCGCACTTGACAAGAACAACATACATACTAGCATTGCACTAAGGCCTTTACAAATGTTCTCGGACTACTCACTACCATTAGTCCCACTTTGTAGCCGGAAAAACAGATACAGAGAAGTTAAGGTGCCCAAGTCACACAATTAACACACAGGAAGGTCAGGGTTATAACCTAGATCTATCCGGCTCTTAAGTGGAGCTCTTCATGAACAATCATCTTTACAACCTGGGCTGAAATGTTGACTGTTCCTATTCTCTGGGTGGTGAGATTATGGAGAACTGCTTTTCTAATCTTCTTCTAACCAACATGCTTATTAACTAGACAAGACAATTGAACAAGTAACCTTTAGCCACATTTTCCATTTCCCCCTGAAAACACAGACCATTACACTCACCACAGTTAATGACCCTCAACTGGGAAATCTGCCAAGGGGTCCCAGTTCTAAAACGATCCAAAAGGGGTGGTGGAGGACAGATCCTACCTCATGGGTCTCAGGCAACAATTCTACACACATACACACACACACACACAAAGGGCTGGGAAGGAGACTTCCTGATCTGACTGGAGATCTTTTTTTTTTTTTTTTTTGGGGGGGGGTGTCTCTCCTCACCTACACCAAGTGAAGGGGTGAGGGAGGAGGGAGCCTTACTGCTTACAATTATCAGTGATGTCTTGGAAGGAAAAACAAAGGCCTGTGGGGCCCAAGGGGGAGGGAGAAAGTCAGGCTGTGAGTGATGGGTCTCCCAGCAGTCTTCTGGAAGACTTCCTGTTGTTGAGAAGCAGGTTGGGAGAGCCTTACTCTTTATCTGATCCTGGACCATTTGTGCCTGTGCAAACTGCTCCCAGCTGAACCCAGGCCTCCTGTGTCACTCACACAATGACTGGGGACCACCTAAGAGAAAAACAGAGCCGGCGCCAACCTGCCACTGTGCTGCTTAAGTCAGGGACTTCAAACACCAGATGGATACTCAGGGCTCTTAGCTAAAAAATTCTGGCTGAGTTGGTCACTTGACAAACAGGAGAACAGGTTTGCAGCTTAGCTCCTGAACAGCAGCCATCACGGTCGCCCAGCCCATAGAAACCACTCTGCCTTCAGATGTGGGGATAATACCTACTTCAATGATTTGGTGCAAGGATTAGACAGAATAATGACCGCTGTTTGGTATAGTGACTGACATGTTTTTATTGCTTCTTGTTGTTAGGTGCCACTGAGTCGGTACCGACTCAGAGCGACCTAATGCAGAGCAGAACGAAACACTGCCCGATTTTATTGCTAGAGGCTAGCTATTTTTGTTACTTCTAATAACTGCAAGTTCGGCAGTTCAAGCTCACCAGCTGCTCCTGGGAAACCCTATACAGGGTCGCTATGGGTCGAAATCGACTCAAAGGCACTTAGCAGCAATAAGTACATAAGGTGGAATTCTGGGAGACTCTACTGCTTCAAAGTTCAAACTTAACAAAGGAAAGGATTCCTTGCCTAAAAAGTCCCCTGAGCATCATAACAAATAATCTCCTGCATAACTCAGGAGACTATTATTTTACTTTACGGAAGATAATTAGCCTCCTTAATTCCCCAGCTGAGAGAAAAAGTGCAGTCTTGAATTATATTCAACTTCTAACCACAGTACAATAGACAGAGCCCTGACGGTGCAGGGTTGGGCTGCTAACTGAAAGGTCAGCTGTTTAAACCCACCAGGTGCTCTGTGGGAAAAGATGTGGAAGTCTGCATCTGTAAATATTTGTTGCTGTTGTTAAGTGATAATCCCACCCATAGCGACCCTGTATAGGATTTCCCAGGAGCAGCTGGTGAGCTTGCACCGCGGACCTTGCAGTTCAAACGACTCTGCATTCTGGGACATTAGCCCACAGCGTTACACCAAGAGCCTTGAAAACCTTATGGGCCAAATCAACCGGGTCCTACAGAGTCACCATGAGTGAGAATGGATACAAGGAGGTGGATTTTTGTTTTGTTTTGTTTTGTTTCCTCAATTACTTTCAAAACACACTGAGATCAGAGAAATTGGAAGGAACCTCAGGAAGCATGTAAATTCCACCTCTTGCCCAACATTGAAAACCGGCAACAATGTCGCATATGGATGACCTCACTTCTGCTCAAACACCTCATAAGGGGTCTA